CCCCGGGGTGGAAGCATGCCTACATCTATCACCATGTTGCTACCATTCTTTCCGGTCTCTGTAGTTCTTCTGTAAAGAATTTTCAGTGGGACATTCCATCAAAAGCTTTTTTGTAAATCCACAGAGACGGGGTCTAATGCATTACCCTTGTCTAAGAAGTGATTCATCTTGTTAAAAGATTTACCTTTAATAAAACTCTACCTTTGATAAAACCCATTTGCTACCATGTACTGAGTGCTTTCCCTGAAAACTGTCCTAAGGTTGCTGGGTCAAGTGGCCTGTATAATTTTTTTCCAGTCTTCTTTGAATACAGCAATGTGCAGATTCTTGCTACTAAACCTGCATTTTCATGTGCCAATTATTTCAACATCCTCCAGTAGAGATTATCCAGGCCCTCTGGGTTCAGTTACTCTATCGCTGGAAATTTTATCTTTAATATAGCGCTCTACCTCCTCAATTCCTTTTACCACTTCTTCCTTCCTAAACAATTTATAACTACCAATTTTTACATTCCAGTCATGCAAATAAACCCGCCAGGTTTCAGTCATGCCAATTATATTGTATATCTCATAATCCAGCAAGAATTCCCAATTCCTCTTGCTTTTAATTATATACTCACAAGGTGCTTCTCCCCGGTCCCTCTCTCTGGACAGCCACCTACGGTGAATCATGCTTATTATCACGTGGTGGTGAGGGAGAAGGGTGATGCAGTACCGCTCTGGATCTGTGAAAGTGTATGGCAAATTCTTGTCTTTATATGTTACAGATTTATTAATTTCTGCAGGATATACCTCTCTCATACCCTGGCTCCTTCTCAAATGTGCATTTAACGTCCATATTTATGGCCCATTTTGATGCATCCTAACATACCATGTAAGTTCCACTCTGCCATTTACTCCTTAAAGAATGCTAAGGAATATGTGGTACAGAGCATACAAACAGCTACAGACACCTTGCCCTCAAAATATCATTCCAAGAATACAAAACAAGCCTATGGATACCCATTCCTGATCTCCCTGACTTCTATGGAGCGCGGGTAAGCAACATGGAAAGACTCATAGTTTGTTTAATGGGACAGCACCCTCTTAAAAGGCACCTAGGCAGCTGCTTTTCCCTCTGAATGTGGATGCTATTACTGAGATTGTCTGTTCATTAGCAACTAAAAAAAGATCTGAGTTCATGTTTTTTTCTATTAAAATCAAAGCAAACGCACTATTGAGCAAAATCGGCTAACTTCTTATTGCTTCCCAGCTCGCGAACTCCTCTACCTGTTAGAATAAGGTATGCCACCTTACCTACTTGATGCGTTAATTTTTTTGTGGCATGTATGTTCTTGAGTCACGGAATCTACCAGCTAGTTTACCACTGTTGCTATTAGCACATCACTTGCCTGGTATCTTGTGAGATGTCCAGTACTGACACAAACAGACACCTAGGCTGCAGGTGTGAAATCAGATACGCACTCAAAGTCATACTCAAACAGAATTGAAATGGTAGAGAGCTTGGCTCTGAGACACCTGGCCATAGACAAGGAATTCATGGCCCAGGAGGAGGCACCAAGTGCCAGGTGCAGTGTGTGAGTGCAGAACAGGACTCGTGACCAGTACAATCTGCAGAGCTTGTAGGGTATGCTTTAGCTTCATCCCTTTCTGGAGATTAGGAGCATCGCTCTTACAGAAGGTACCTCCACCCATGTGGGATCCAAAGCATTGAACCCACTCTGAAAGGGACATCCTTCATCCTCTTTTTGGTAGGCTGGGATTCAGCATACTTTTGAGTCAGAAATTGTGCTAAACAATTACAGGACTCACCCACCAATGAAATATGTATGCTCCAGTCCCTCTGTTTGCAATTATATTTCTCAGGTGCTAAATGCTTTTTGGATTCTTTAGCCATCCTAGACCTGCTGGATGAAAATAAACTCTAGATTTGCAAATTATTTCAGAAATAATCACAGCACTCAATCTCTGTTAGAGATATCCGTGAAAACTAGAAACTTGCAACAAGATGAAGGCCCGCTTTGCTAGTCTCTGCACAGAGTGTGGATGGCATGATTTTTGCACCTCTACCTCTGGAATCTAAATGGACATTTCAGGTAAACAGTGGGAGGACAAGACACGCAAAAATTGGTTTCATTGCAACCTAAATGTCATTTTAAGGTGTGACTGAGTCCCAGCCACTCCAGCCAACTGGAAGCCCTGCAATCCTGCCCGTTGCAGTATCAACCTTCTGGGAACTGGTCCTGTTGTATCTGCACTACAAGATCTGCTGTGTTGCAGCTGCACCAGTGCAGAGAGCTGGAAGTTTTGACAGTACTGTGAGTGTAGGGAGAGAGAAGTCAAAAGCCTGGTGGCTAGATGAAGAAAGTGGCTCACAGCTGGGAATGTTAGGAGTCTCTGGAGGGTTTTGACAGCATCACAACCACAGAGAGCGTTACTGGCATTCATGTGTTCCTGGTGGGATTCATGTTGCTTAACTTCAGGCACCAGCAGTAAGGAATCAGGCATAGTTCAGGAGCTGTAAGAATGGTGCTGACCATGGATTGTGGCCAGATGTTCTGCCAGAGGTGTGAGGCTATGGGGTGGCTACTGAAAGGACTTTGCCTGGAGGAAGTTTGTTGTTGCAGTCATTTTCAGTGTGATATTGGTAAAGCTCTAAGAAAGGCGTTATTGAACGTGTGGAGTGCATTCAGGCTAGGAATTTTGACTAATTCAATACACTACTAACTGTGTGCTTAGTGGTATTTTCTGGATGTTCTCCTGACATCCTAGGGTGTTTATTAATGATATGGTGACTGTATGACTTGTGATACCTACAGGACTGTGGTCAGTAAGTGTGCTGTGGGCAGTGTGATGAGCCTATGGAATGCATTACCCAGAGATATATAGAGCATTGGAGGTGTACGTATAAACCTGATCACAGTGCTGCTGTATTGAGGCTGGCTGGTGTGTCGCTGCCCTGGAGCTCAGGTAAAATGATCACCAGTCAGGCTGCAAAAGGCCGTGACAACATACTGACAGTCTGGTATTACAAACCCGTAAGTCTGAATGAAGACCTTTCATGGTTATTTATACTGACACTCTTAGGGACAAATTTAGACCTGTGTCCATTACATTGTTCCTGTCCTTACCAGAAAAAACTATGGTAAATCCTGAACGAGGCAGCTGCATGTCTAAGCCAATATATCCCTGTACCTGGCTGGATTCTTTCCAAAGGTTGGTCACTCCTGGACTGCTAACTGAAGAGTACTTTTCACCAAGTTAGTGTTTCAAATAAGAGGAAACACGCATGAGGTTGCTGTGGCCATGTGGGGAGGGAGAAACAACCCCTTTTTTCCTGCTTTCACCATAACTTTCTAAAGCTGGCTTCCAGCTATCTCCTGAAATCACCTACTACAGCACAGCTTTGTTTACCCAGTACAGAATAGATCACTGTGTTTCTCTTCTCCCACATATAACTCAGTTTTCTGAGTGGGCTAGAGTCACACAGTTACAACTTACCTCACACATAAATCTTGGCTTGGAAAGCTTTCAGTATCTGCCAGAAATTTGGGCATGCTTGATTGTCCCAATCCCAGTTAAGACACTCAAAAAGTCAGAGAGTCTTACGCTGCTCACTCAGGCTGCTGTGGCCTAAGTTTATTTCCAAATCAGTAAGACACAACATCTTTTTTTTCTATATTTTTTTCTAACATCAAGAGGGTTACTTTGGTGCTTTCATTTCAGCATGGAGCTGTTTATCGACAGTCCCAAGGCTGGAGTTCATGAACTTTCCTTTTCATACATTAAATTGAATTTTAATGACCAACTAATTCTTGAAGCACTATCCTCAAAAATACCAGTGGGCATACACAGCACCTTGGGGTGAAATGGACTGTGAGCTGCTGCCCAAGTTTTGCCCCACTTTATAGTACATCCTTACAGACCAGTTTTACCAGGATCTCATAAACTTCCCATTATCAGGGAGGTTGTGTCCTCAGAGACACAACATGTAGGATGATTAACTGCTCCTCTCTCCCAACAGTGGCGAAGGACCAATTCCTCAGTCTACTCTTTGAGCAATGGCAGGGTGGAATAGAATGGAAACAGCCCAGCAAGGAGGAACCAGTATCCACGAGCCACCACCATCTCATACTGTGCCACATTTCTAAACTTTATTTTCCAGTCGCATAATCTAGAAAAAAGCTCTTTCAAAAGCAGAGTTTGGATGTTAGCTCTACCAGACAGCTCTGGGAGTAGGGACTGTCAGTTTGCATCCGTTGAGACTTAAATCAGTCCCATGGCTGCTACCTTCCATTCACCCTCCAGCGTTTTATTTCTTGGTAAGTGCCAGGGTACAGCAGAGGAAATGAATGCACTGATAAGCTGGAGAGGTGTCTTCTCGAGTGGTTCTCAGCAAGTAAATGGCTGGGCAGGCAACAGAAATGAGCTTTCTTGTGCCCAGTTGTGCCCTTTCACTGCCATTTCTGTACTCTACCTCAATAAACATACAAACCAGCCACCAGGAAGGGTTGGTGGGTGGTCATTTGCTTAAGGGATACCAGAAAAGATGCGGTCTAGGCTACAGTATGATAAAAACTGTGACCTTTGGGCTTTTGCTGTCATTCAGACCACTGTCCTAGGGGTTATTTCAGGGGCACTTCTGTCAGAACCTCCTTAACAACTACCATCCGCTGCCTTTTGTGCGCTCCAGGGAGCAGCTCCCAGAAGGGAAGCACTGACCAGTCTCTGGCTGCAGTGCCCATGAGGGTAGCACATACTGCTTATCAGAGGTTCAGCTGGCTTTAGAGCATAGACCCTGCATCAGCCAGCAGGTAAACAAGCAAATCCTTGCCCTCGCTGGAAACAGGTTGCTTTTCAACAAAGAACTGTTAAAATCCTGCCTCTCTCTGCAGGGCGAATCTGCTTTAAGATACAGCACAGAACAGCTTGCCTGTGTGTTTATCACACTGAGCCAAACACAAAGCAACACAAGCTGGAAGGAAGTTGGTTTATACTTACCAGCAGCATTGATATTTTCCTCACAGGAGTACCAGATCCCAGTGTGGAAATACCTGAAAAGGAAGCGGTCATCTCCCGTCTCCCAGCTGTAATGAACCACATTCTGGTTTGTCTCATTTGCAGTCTCATTCCCGCTGTAGTTGAGGCAGTTTGTCTTCTTCTCTTTCCCACAGCTCGGCTTAGGGACCCTCTGTGTGCCCTCACACCAGTGGGTCGTGATAAAAGCTGTCGTGGAGAAAAGGAGAGCCATCAGATTCAGACTCACTGCTAGCAGGGCTCTGCATCTTCGATTTGTCTTCATGGTAAATCCGCCCTCCCTCCCCCTCCTGCTGAGAGAAGAAGTCAAAGGGGTTTGTTTTATTTGGGGGGGGGAGGTCAAAGCCTCTCACGATTCAGAATCCAGTTTTCCAAATGTCAAAACTCTCAGGCTCTTCCACTCTGTTGTTGTAGCAGCGAAGGAAACGCTGCAGCCAGACTCCCATTCTTCTCTTCACTTGAAATCCTGCCTTTGTACGTTAAAGGAGCAGCTGCAGGCGCGGGAGTGCGGCCGTCCTCTTGTAGTCGGTGTGCTCCAGCGGGCGGACGGGATCAGAGAGGGTCTGCCTCACGGCGAGCACCGAGAGCGAGTGAACATCTGCTCGGGTACCACACATGATCCCGAGGGGCTCCGCAGCCTCCTCCGCCGGGAGACACCTGCAGGCTGCGGGACTCGCTCTCCTCTGCTCCCATAGGATGAGGCAGGAGAAACTCGGCGGGAGGCCGGCGGCAGGGCCGGCTGCTGCCG